TTATTGTTTATAGTTTATAATGTTTATACAAATATATATTAAACTTTTAAATACATAATATAGTATTTAGTAGGTAGTATTTATTATAATATATAAATTTTAGTGTCGCTTTTAAGATACAAAAACTTGTTCTCTCAACTTGTGATGTTAGAAGTTTAGAATATTATGTTACAAGRTGTTTTCATTTTAGATTGTGAATCACAACTCACAAGACAAATTAAAAAATGCGCGGGTATTGATAGGAATTCTTTCCAGCTGACGTCATCGACATGCGTATCACGGAACTAAGATCATACCTAGTTATTTAGCAACATAGACATAATATATTATGTCTATGTTTAGCCATGGGATAATTATTTTGAAAAAATGATAATTATATAAGTTCTTTACGATAATATTAGTTTGAAAGTCTGGCAACACTCGCCGCCGCGACTAATTTATTTTAATATCCATAACCGTGGTTTTTAGGTTAGAAGAAAATTGAAACTCGACAGACGACAAGACAAGTAACAAGTAAAACAAAGTAACGAATTCAAACACCAACGTCAAGGACTCACGGTGCAGACAGGGTGTAATAGCTGCTTGATCCATTAAAGATGGGAAATACTGGTCAATTGAACGATTCGGTTCGTTTAGATCGGGTCATTGAAAACGAAAAGACCCGTTCATACGATTCGTTCATTTCGTTAGAACGACGAACGTATTTTTTTTTTTTTAATTATCCCGCGGCACCCGTAGGTTTCTGCCATGCCCCGGAGTGGGGGATGGTGGCACTTGATCTCCGGGCACCGTGACTTGCCCGGAGAAAAATGCCGCCCGAATGCCCGATGGTCGAGGATCGAACCCGGTACTCGGTAGCCGGTCCGGCTGAGCCACAGCCCAAAGCCGACGCTGTTGCGGTAGACCACTCGRCCACCACTATAATGATTGATTATAAATACAATTGATTTATAATATTTACAATCAATGGTATAATGTAAGAACTTGGATGTTGGTATATTGATCATTAAAATGATGCTGAGTTTACCAACTAATTATTTAAAATACTAAGATTGACATATGTAGATCAAATTAAATATACTTTATTTGATATATAATCAATTATCATTATTGTTTTTGTGATCACCGACAAAACTTTAGTGTTAACGTGACGAATTGTCAGTTTTTTTCATAGATATATAATATTAATATTATATATCTATGGTTTTTTTACAGGTTATCCAAAAAAGTAGATAAGGTACAAAAAATGAAAACAAWAACACTAATTAAAATAGCTATAAATTGATTATATTAAAACAAACGAAATCAACATTAATAAATAAAAGTAAAAGTGAATAGACGTGCCAACACTGCCAAACGTGGTGTTCCGAACAAAAAGGAGGTGACGCATGACAACCTGACAACGACGTTCGTGTTGAGAGAACAATAAAAAAAAGGGCGCGGCGGCCAGTGTCCAGTGAGAGTCTCGTCGGTCGGCAACGATCGCCCGATCGCGTCCTGAAGGTAGTAAACAAAACTAAATAGGAGGGGGGAGCGCATCTTGCTCGGCTGACGCTGATACCGCGGTTATGGTTATTGCTGTGAGTCGCCACTAAATCGCGGTTTGAAAATATCATAGAGTGAAATGTGATTATAGATTACCTAATGAGTAAATAATAAGTTCGGATCACTCATTATTAAGAATTTTGAGTTGGTAGCAATGCAAGCCGAACGAGAAGTCGAGAACGAAATTGAACGAATGAATCAATGAACGACTTTTTATTATTTCACGATCCGGATTGTTTCGTTCACAAGTTTGACCCGTAACCCGTTCAATTTGATCCGTTCGTTCGCGATCGACACATCACACATGTCTAGATTCATTCATTTTTGGAAAAAAGTATAAGTAAAAACGTAAGTATTTTTAAGTTTATAATATATTTTATAGTTATTATTTGAAATATTGAAATATGTGTGCCTCTGTGCTGTTAGCACTTGAGTTGTGATGGGTGTATCGTGTATGCTAAAACAAATGCATGCGACGAGCAGTTACTTCAAATAATGTTTAAAGAATACATTTAAACGAGAAATTAATAAAAATCCCAAGATGATGACAACACCAATTATTGACATCATGCTGTTCTTGTTTCCCTAATTTTAATGAAAGACAAGTTGAATGTATAATTTAACAATAGGCACTGAATAGATGAATTATTAAAATTGGACTCTGAGTTAATAATGAGTT